TTTATTTTCTTTACTTTAGTTCTGATTGTATCTCTGTTAAGGAGCCTGCATGAGAAGAGGGGAGAGAGTGACCACACATGCAAGTGAAACTTAGGAATTTGCCTTTTGATTCAGTTTTAATAATGTCTGGAGATTGTCAAAAGTACATCAAAATCTAATTTTGGATTTCTGTGTTCACTGGACACAATTTTTTTCTTTTGGTGCCTGCTATACAGGTGTTGGTTGGCTATCATTCTTTTACCTGTCATGGATATTGAAATAGACCAGACATTTGAATATTACTGATTCGTTATAGTTAAAATGTGACTATGCTGGGAAGGGACAATGGGGAAATTGGGTGACATCCTTTGTTTCCAGGAATCACTGGGTTTTGTACTAATTAGCCTTGAAAAATGTGGAGCTATTTGACAGACCAGATGTTTTCAGCATGAGCCATGTGTCTCATCAGTGAATGTGCCTTGCATCTGCAGGCAACATTGTTGAATTCTCCTCATTCTATAAACAATGTTCCAAAATATAACTAAACCCCAAAGTGTGTTTATCTTTTTGGCTTAATTTCTGGCTTTGTATCCATTCTAAAGTTTCTCTCTAGAGGAATTGCATTTTATTGCACATAGCTCTTCATACCTAATTGTAGTATAAACACCATTCTGTTTACACTAAACCATGTGAATTGTATTGTTTTTGAGCCTGTAAAATTTTAATAAGAGCAATGATTTCAGATTTAACTATATTTGTACTTTTATTTCTATATTTAGTGAGAATAAAACTTTCTTCCCTCCATTTACTTGAACAAAGACTTTGATTTTTTGGAACACATAAGGGAAAACATTAAAAACAAAAAAACAAAAAAACAAAAAAACCCAAGTAAAACCAGTCTCTAGTCTTTAGCATTTGTGGTACTAAATTCATTGGAGCAAGAAGAGTTTAAGTATTTGCTGTGAAAATCATTCTTAAAGTCCAAAATAGAGCTGTAAGTCTTTGCTTTATAAGGATGGAACTGAATTTTTCCTATACCAAATATATCATGGGAAACATGGAAATTAGGAAATTAAAAGTATGAAGGAGAAAATTATCACTCGTAGGATTGCCATCCAAAGGAAAAATATCATGGCTAACATTTTTGTATTTATTTTTCTCATTTTGCTCTCTACTTTTGTGTGTATGTGTATGTTTCCAGTGATATATATCTCATATATGCATAAATGTTCATAATTTATATGTGTAAATATTTGTAATTTTGAGGAATATTATGATTATACTTGTAAGATCAATTTTTTTTTTCTCAATTGGAGCACCATTCCTGGAGGTACTGCAATGCCAGGTTGATGCATGGAGGGGACTAAATAAGTTCCCATTTTATCTCCCTGCTGCAAAAATCCATTTAATAAATATTGTCCTCTGATAAGAGAATGTATCAGATATTAAACTGATAAGATATATCAGATATTAAATTTGATCTTAGCCAAAAGGCCAAGCGGCAATAAGATCTATTTTTTGAAATTATTTTCATTCAACAATATTGTAAACATTTTGCTCTTTTATTAGCCTTTTACTACTTCTTATTAGAAATCTAGGTTAGTTTTTTTATTTGCTAACATAAATAATTCTATAATTCAAGAGGCTTATATGTATTGCTGTGCATCTTTTTTTTTGTTTGTTTGTTTGGAAATGCAATTGCTTAAAATAATTGTTTTGCTAAAATTCTTCATTGAAAACTTGTGTCGTTCATAAAAACTTGTTTGTCAGCCGGCTGTGAATTCCATTTATTGAAACCCCTGATGAAACACATTATCTTTTAAGAAATCTTTGGCAGTTTGATTTGCATTTTTTCACATATCAGTTAAACATTTTTTTTTCATGTGTTGACCCTTTTTGGTTCTTTTGTGAATTTTCTTTGTTCATTTTTTTTACAAAAACAACTCAAGTTTATTAATCTTTTTTTTTTTTTTTGAGATGGAGTCTTACTCTATCACCCAGGCTGGAGTGCAATGACGTGATCTCAGCTCACTGCACCCTCCATCTCCTAGGTTCAAGCGATTCTCCTGCCTCAGCCTCTTGAGTAGCTGGATTTACAGGCTCCCACCAACATGCCCGACTAATTTTTGTATTTTTAGTAGAGAAGAGGTTTCATCTTGTTGCCTAGGCTTGTCTTGAACTGACCACAAGTGATCTGCCTGCCTCGGCCTCCCAAAGTGCTGGAATTACAGGCGTGAGCCACCACGCCCGGCCTGTTAATCTTTTAGGTACACATTACAAATAAAGTTTACCAGTTTTTCCCTTTATTCTTATTTTTTTTTGCACAACTTATTTCGTTTTTACCTATTCAGCTTTATTAATCTTAATTTTATTTGTCCTCTTATGCATATAGAAGCTTTCCTATTAGACAAATATCATCCCTTTTATTATTATGGAATGTCCTTCTGTGTTACTAGCAATATTTGTTGGCTTAAAGTCTTTTGTATCTTGTATTAATACAGCCATTTCAGCTCTTTTGTGGTTCCTTTTTTAAAAAAAATTTTTTTTTTTTTGACGGGTCTCACTCTGTTACCCAGGTTAGAATGCAGTAGCCTGATCTCAGCTCACTGCAACCTCTGCCCATTCAGGCTTAAGTGATCCTCCCACCTCAGCTTCCCAAGTACTTGGGACTACAGGTGCATGCCACCACATCTGGCTAATTTTTTGTAATTTTTTTGGTAGATATGAGGTTTTGCCTTGTTGCCCAGGCAGGTCTCAAACTCTTGAGCTCAAGTGATCCACCCACCTTGACCTCCCAAAGTGTTGGCATTGCAGGTGTGAGCCACTGTGCCCAGCCTTATGGTTACTTTTTTTTATGGCATATCTTCTTTCCCTTTTACTTTCAACCTATTTGTATCTTTGAATCTAAGTGTGTTTCTTGTAGACAATATGTAGTTGGATCATGCTTTTTAAGTCCTGACGATGTTGGCCTTCCAATTGGATTGCTTAGTTCATTCTCATTTAATGTAATTATTGATATGGTTGGATTTTGTTCTTTGTTTTCTATATTTTTAATGTCTTTTTTTGTTTGTTTTTGTTGCTCCTTTACTGCTTTCTTTTGTGTTAAATATTTTTAGTGTACTATTTGAATTCTTTTGTTGATTTTCAAATGATACATATTTTTGATCTTTTTTAGAGGTTGCTCTATGGATTATAATATGCATCTTATCACAGTCTACTGGAGGTCATTGCTGATATAAATTTGGTATAATATATAGTAGTAGTTTTGCTTCAATTAGCTCCATTTCTTTCCTACCCTTTGGTGCTGTTATTATTAGATATATTACACTTATACATTTTGTAAACCCAATGATACAGTGTTATAATCATTGCTTTAAAAAATTTTATCTTTTAAAGACGTTAAGAAAAGAGAAAAAATATTTTTATTCGTCTTTCATATTTAGCATGTATTTACTATTTCCCATGTTCTTCGTTTCTTTCTGTGAATTCAAGTTACCATCTGCTGTCATTTCCTTTCAGGCTTCCTTTAGTATTTCTTGTAAGGCAGGTCTGCTAGCAAGGAATTTTCTGTCTTTCTTTGTCTGGAAAGGTATCATATTTCACTTTGATGTTTAAATAGTCATCAGCTAATGATTGGTTAGAGGTTATGCTCAAAAAACTTGAGCAAGGTTTCCAGTCTTTGGTAATGAGTTTGTATGTGGGTTAGGGACTACATTAAAAGCAGTTTTAAAGTCAGCTTAAACTTCTACCTACCTTCTTAGTTTTCCCATGTGCCTGTCTACAGCCTCCTAGTCAGCCAGGGATGTGTGGATTGCTTAGACCCTTTTAGATGTCGCCTGCAGGTATGCATAGCCTCTCAGCCAGCTAGCAACTTGCAGAGAGTTTATCAAGCCCTTCTGTGGGTCTTTTATTTCTATGGTTTACCTGTTAAATTTCTGGTTAGTCCTTTGGTCTGTTGTTTGCCCCAACCCAAATTGTAACTTTTGACCAGTAGAGCTGGAGACTTTTCTTATTTATTTATTTATTTATTTATTTATTTTTACTGAGTTCGCTACTTTCACTAACAGCATCTCTCAATATGAGTTTTTTGCCCTCTGCTCCAAATTATGTCAGCCCCTCATCTCAGGAAAGCTGCTGATTTTCATGACTAGCCATGGCCAATGAACAGGGGTTGAGGAATTAGAAGGGGAGAGTGATGGAAGTAGCTCCAGGCAAGAAAGCTACAGAGTCCCACTGTTGAGCAGTTATTATGAATAAACACTTCTTGACTTGTTGTTCTCTTTTGTTTAGTTTCCAGAACCCTGAAATAGTTGTTTTGGATAGTTTACATTTGTTTTCTTTGGATAGAAGATTTGCCAAGCTTTTCTGTGTGCCATAGTTGGAAGTCTAGCCTTGGATACTTCATTTTATAGGATGAATTTTTTTTGGCATTGAGATGATGATTCTTCATTTCCTTTTATTTCTCTTTTTTTAAGACTGAGTCTCACTTCGTCGTCTAGGCTGGAGTGCAGTAGCGTGATCTCGGCTCACTGAAACCTCCGCGTCCGGGGTTCAAGTGATTCTCGTGCCTCAGCTTCCTGAGTAGCTGAGATTACAGGCTTGCACCACCATGCCCAGCTAATTTTTGTATTTTTAGTAGAGATGGGGTTTCACCGTGTTGACCTGGCTAATCTCAAACTCCCGGCCTCAAGTGATCCACCTGTCTTGGCCTCCCAAAGTGCTGGGATTACAGGCCTGATCCACCATGCCTGGCCCCTTTTATTTCTCTTATGTCATTAATTTTATTGGTAGCTATTTTAAGGCTTATGCATTCTTTGGATAAAATCTTTTTTGATTATAATTTCCCAGTCTTTTAAAGTATGTATTAATTTTTAATAATTTGAGACTCTTTTCACCGATGTTCTCATTAAAACTTAATGCTGGATTTGTCTTAATGCACAGTGAAAACCAATTCAGGCTAGACATTTTGCCTAACCCTAAAGAAAACTGAGTGAGCTAAAGGTGATCAATTCCTTTTGTAGGCATTATCCTGCACTGAAAACTCTGGAACATCTAGAGCATACCTACCTGCCTCAAGTAAGCCACTATCGATTCTGCAAGGTGATGGTGGACAACATCCCCAAGCTTCGAGAAGAAATAAAAGATGTTTCTATGTCCGATCTCAAAGACTTTCTGGAGAGCATCCGCAAACATTCAGACAAAATTGGAGAGACTGCCATGAAGCAAGTAGGTCTTGGGTTTATGATAGGTTGGCCAGTGGCTTATCAGTATTGAGTTAAACACAGGTTTCTCTTTGCCAAGTATCTAGTTGTTTCTTATCATTTTAGAGAAGTCCTTCATATTTATGGGAACACGTGATTAAAAATGTTTTCTTTTTTTTTTAACAGAGCAATGGACAATTATATTGTTTTGCTCTGTAGATGTTCAGTAAATATTGGTCAGTTGTAATGGTTTACATTGAGATTATGAAGAAATTTTTCTATTGTTTGTATACTTCCCTTGACTTTGCATGTAATTTGAAGCTCAAGATATTTTAAAGTTCTCCTTCTAGTTAATGACCTAAATTGTACCACATGTGTCTTTGGTTGATTATTTACTACGTAAGCAAGATAGCATGTTATACATGCATATTTCTGATATTAATAGGTGTCAGTGAAAAAAGGCCTATTGGGAAATGCTTTGAATTATGATCAAAGAAAAGGATTTATTAACAGCTTGTATATTAATAAATATGTTACCAGTATTTACATTTGTTAAAACATTTTCATCCCTAAGTCACCAAAGTCACAAGGAACATCTAAATTTCTTTTTTTAAATTATGAATGAAAGGTCAGTAATGTTTTACAATGGTATTTGCTCACTTGAAATTTGTCACATTGATTTTATGAAAAATTTTTAGTATACCTGATGATGTAGCCTACAGCAACAAATACAAGAATCAGTTGTTTATGGAAAGTACTTTTTGGTTCTGTAAACAATAGTGTTCTTGAATAGATCATTTGCAGTTTTTATCATTCTGTGAGGAATGAAGGAATAGATTATATTTCAAATCATATTTTAGGTCTTGACTAGCCTTGATAATCTATTCAGATGTCTATTTGATCCATAATATCTATTTGATCCTCCAAAAGAGATTCTCCAGTTACCGTTTCCTCAGGGAATACAGATATTTTCCCTTTCTTCCTTTAAATTTTGTCAGTGTTAAACTTCACAAAGTGCAGAGTTTAAAAGTAGATGATAAACCTGACAGAGATAATTGTGTGATTTCATTGTTTATAGTGGTGAAGAAACAAAATTAATCAGTGACAATATACCTTTGCATTGCTGGGTACATATTTTGAATACAGGAATGAAGCTATCTTCTGAGATAAGTCTTTATTGTGGTTTGCTCAGTTTCTCCTAAGCTTTTAAAATATAGGAGAGTATAGTACAAAGCCTCTATGGAAGCTGCCTTTTTAAAAATTGCTTTTTCTGAGCCTCTGCTTGAGAAATTAATTTGCTTCCCTTTTGATGAAAGGGGAAGCCATGTAGAATATTACTTTATTTAATGTGAGGCTAACTGGGCTCATTCCTCAATTATCTGAAGAAATTAAGACCAAGAAGAGGGAAGTAACTTGCTCAAGTTCAAACAACTTGTAAAGGTGAGATCCTGCATTAGAATTCAGGTTGGGTTGAAATGAATTTGTCTACTATGATACTCAATCTGTGTAAACTATTAGCTGTTTGCTCTATTTTTGTCGTATAAAGAAATGATGAAGAAATCTTTTGTAAATCCAGGACTTTTAATTAACTGAGAAATCTTTATTTCTCCTATAACATTTTTCATCTCAGGATCCTTGAGTAAAGATATGTTAACACATTAAAAAATCTTTTGTAGTACCTAGAACGTAAGGAAGATAGGAGAGAGAAAATACCATGTACTTTGTGCATACTAGGTGTTCAATAAATGTTTGAATTCCCAGATAAGAGGGAGAGGAAGTGGTTTATTTCTCACTGCCTCAAGCCCAAAACAGTGTTTCTGGTTTGTGATGGTTTTCTTTGCAATGGTGATTTAAGGACTTAGGATCCTCCCATTGTATGGCTCTTCCATCTTTAAGATGGCTTTGAAGATTGCTTTAGAAGGAGAAAGACCAAAGAGTGTTGCATGTGGGAGGGTCTTTAAGGGCCAGGCATGGATGCCACACGTCACTTCTACCCATATTCTGTTGGTCTGAACTTAATTATATAGCCATACCTACCTGCAAGAGAGGCTGGAAAATGTAATCTCACTCATTCTCTAACAGGAGGAGGATATAGGTTTGATGAATAATAGTATCTGGCACAGTCTACCTTCTGGTGATCAAATATCTTTTCATTCTTTCTCTCATACATAGAACACACTCCTTCCCTAGGGGGCAACAGTCCAATGGCCCATGTAGTCATTACATCCGTCTCAAAATCTAGTATCTTCCAGGGATGCTCAACCCTCTCCATAAGATTCAGCCATGGCTCTTCATGAGCTGGTAACTACTCAACTAAAATTGCAAGTTGTGTGTACTGGTGTCTCCTTCCACCCCCAATATACAATGAAGAAGCTAGAATAAAATAATTATAACAAAACCTTTTATTTAGAAAAGGGAAGAATGGGAGACGAACAATATTCTCTGCTTCATAACAAATCATATAAATCTACTTAGGCAGGCCCTGGGAAGTTCCTCTGCTCTGGTAGTAGAGGAATTTCCTTGCTTAGACCTTGATTCCCTGGAAGGAACTCCTTTGCTCATTGTTCTCTTGAGCTCCTAGCTGCACACTGGCTTTTACTTGTTTATATGTGTATGTATATATACTTTATATGTGTGTATATATATACTTTATATGTGTATATATATACTTTATATATATTTTATTTTTTATATATTATATATATATTTTAAATATATACTTCTGAAGTAGATGCTGGGAAATATACATTCCTTAGAAGGCATACTTCTCTTTCTCTCTCTGTATCTATATATCTGTATCTGCAATTGTGTCTACATTTACATTTATATATGTCTTTTACTGCCTGCTTTTTGCTTTTTGCCTGAGGGTTGGTTTAATGTTCTGAACAAACATTTATTAATATTTAGTCCAAATTTGTGTTTTTTTGACATTATCATTCCCTCAAAATGTAGGCATCTCATCTTTTTCTTTCCAATAGGTTCTGTGAGGACACCATACCCACTGTTCTTCCCTAAATATAATTTTCAAGAATGATTTTGTTTTTCTTCTCCTCTCTTTGGGGAAGTAGTGGAGGTTGGGGAGCATAGCCCTTGCTTCATGCTTCTTTCTCAGTTTGATGGCCTTACATTGAGGTGACGTGAAACAGTGGGTGGTAAGATCATGCTTGAATCTGACATCTCTGCCTCAGAGTTGAGTCACTTTGTTGAACTAAAAGCCTTCCTGGGACTTTATTGCATAAGCCTTTACTATTTGTTTTTTCTCATACTGTTTAAGATCTGTATATATTCCCCTTTTAACCCTGTGAGGCCTAAGTTTCTGGGACTACTTCTGTTCCCTATAATTTCAGTCTGCAAATGAGCTAATACTTTTCTGAGCTTATCGTTTTTATGCAATACCTTGCCAAAAGCAGAAAGTAAATACCAGTGTACACTATAACTCTCACTCTTTATTTACTTATAATGCAGTAGGCCCAATAGGGAAGTGATATGCCTATTCACTTATTATAGGTTCCAATTTTACTAGTTGTTTTGCCACAGTATTATAGGGCTTTTCAGCCTTTTAACTTGTTAAATATATGTTCTTACTGCCCACTGCCTGACTACTAAACCCATGTCTTTTATTTTAGATTTTTTTTGGGGGGTAACACCATATTTCCAACACCTGTTTCTGTATTCCTTAAATAATGTTCCCTGCTGTAACAAACTCTAAAATCTCATAATAGAAATTTTATGTTTTGCTTATATAAAGACCAAAATGCATGTCCCTGGTGGGTGACTTTCAAGAGATCTAGGACTCTTCCACCTTGTGGCTTTCAAGGGTACCACAGAAGGGGAAAGAGAGTAAGTAATGCCTGGAGGTTTTTTAGGGATGAAGCTTATAAGTGGCACGTCTCACTTCTGCCAATATTACATTGGCCAGAGGCCAATCACTGCAAAGGAGGGTCGGAAATATACTCTAGCTGTGTGATCAGGAGAAAGAAGAAATAGGCTTGATGAATAGCTAAGCTAGTCTCTGCCATAACCTGCTATCATATAGCCTAGAAAGATAAGTATCTTCCACGTCTCTTGCTTTTTCTTCACAATCTTTTCATCATTTTCCCTATGTGTTTGCCTTCTAATTTATTAATTCAGTTTTTAGCTTTGTCATTGCTGCTATTTAGGACTTTATTATTATTTTTTAGTCCAACAGTCACAGTTTTGGCTTTAAAGAATTTGTTCTTGTTCTTATATTCCTCCTGTATCATGGTAACTTCTTTTTTCAAACATTTCTAAGTATGCTTCTTTAGAATTGTACTGAGAAAACAGACTTGAAAGTCTTACTTAATATTGATAGTTGGTCTAGGCTCTTCTAGAAATTATGTAGGTGACTGCTTTTTCTTGGTGAGCATCCCTCTTTTTATTCTTCTACCCAATGTGTCCTGAGGTGCTGCAGTGAGTGATCCATGGGTGAACTTTGTCCTTGATACTGTGGAGCCAGGTTGGTACATTGGCTTCTTTTTGGGATATACCAGCCAAAACATCACTAACTGGTTCTACCCTAATTAAACTTGAATGAGTAAATTAAGCTCTAATAATTTATCTGAGATTATAATCTCAAACTGTTTGTTGTTCAATTTTATTAAAAGATAAAACACAAAAAATACTATTTGAGGATCCTCTGAAGCATATGTGGCTTGTGCATTCTTCTGTATGCAAGGTTTTATATAGAACTTTATCATTAGGAAGCTCTTTTTCTTAATTGCATGTGGTCTAAAATCAAAAGGTCTTTAGATAGAACTTTATCACTAGGAAGCTCTTTTTCTTTAATTGCATGTGGTAAACAGAATTCTAAAATGTCCTCCAGGATTCTTGCCCCCTTGCATGTACATCCAATAAAATCACCTCTTCTTGAGAGGGTGGGCTTGATCTAATCAGAGGAGATCCTTTAAAAGAGGGCCAGGAGGTCAGAGATAGAAGATGTTGGAAAGATTCAGTGCTCCAGCAGATACTCTATTGTTGGTCTTGAAGAAACAAAGTGCCATTTTG